TCCTTTCTGATCCACTTGCTATGACTCTGTGGTTCTCTGTGGTACTTAAACTGGGGCACATGTACCCCCAGGGAGTATAAGGATGTAGAAAAGTATAAGAGAAGCTCCAGAATAATCACTAGACCTGTTATAAGACAGTCACATTACTCGGTATGGAAAAGTGGCAAATACACTTAAGTACTAGCTACATACTAAAAATAAGGGCAGATATATTGTTCATGAGCTTATTCATCAGCTACTTACTGCATATCTACCCATGCATTCAGTAATTGTGAACATCATACAAGGATTTACTCTCATGGATTTACATCCTGCTGGTAGAGACATATAATGAAGAGAAGAGAAATTCAAAGTAACGTTAAAAATAACAGGAAAAGTCATAAACATTTCAGGCTTGGGAAGAGTAGATACCACTTAGGCCGTTTGCTCATGGGGTGCACTCACTTGCCCCTTGTACTTGTGAAGAAAGTATTGAAATGTGCAGGGAAGTCCTTAACCTGAGGATCCAACCCTAAAGACAGGAATCGGGTCACCTGGAGCCGTTCTGCATACACCACAAGAGCAATGGATACTGGATGGCTAACGGGTGTCTGAGGATAAAGACAAGTTGCATAGTCAAAGCTGGAAAACACTGAGTGTGCGATCTCCTTTTGTAGATGCAAAATAGATGCTAGGAAATGTTCTAAGTGTCCCGCAGGAAACGAACCTCTTTTTCTCTGTTCACCCATTTGCTTCCTTTATTTACTTGAACAGAGCCTAAGAGATTATTTTTTCCCTTAGTGACAGACCATTCTTTATTAAATATAAGATACCACTGATTAAATTATGTACTATTACTTTATTTGCCACTAAGAAAAGGGAAAAAAACCCTCAGCCAATTATAACTGTAATGTACATTCACAGAAAAACAGAATTAAAAGATAATAAAAGTCTTTCCATGAACTTTTTGAAGTACCGTCATATTGTCAATGATGAGACACATCCTAATTTGAGAGATATTGATGTGTAAAAACGAGAAACTTAGAAATATTAGATGGTCAGATGGAATCAGATTCAGTTCTAAGATATGCCAAGCTAAGGGAACCTTTCTTCTGTGAACAGGCTAATGTTGTAATGGCTGTCTTTTAGTATTTTCTTGCAATGGAAATTACAGGATGTAAAGTTGTGACACAGATAGCCTGTTGATAAAGTTTGTGTTCTCTTTCCATAGTACAGAATTGGTGCTGTGAAGTAGTGGAGACCATCAGTGGCTCTGTGTGTGTGTGTGTGTGTGTGTGTGTGTAAGTTTTGGGTGGGGGAGAAGGCTCGACGCTTAGGAGATAGAGAGTGCTTGCAACTGTATGTTGTCTTGGGACTAGTATTGGCCAATGGAATAAGAGCAGAGATGATGCACATCACTTCTGAGCAGAGTAGTTAAGTATTTTGGTGTCTTCTGCTCTTTTTACATTCTGCAGCAAACTTAAAGAGGCTGCATGCTGAACATGGCAGCATAATGAAATAAAAGGAGCCTGGATCCATGACTTATTCCTGGAATACTTCCAATCAGGAATATCCTCACTGAGTATTTCATGAGCAAGAAATAAACTTTCATTATGTTAAGTAACTGAAATTTGAAGGTTGATAATAGCAATTAGCTTAATCTAATACTAGTCAGATTTGTTCTTTTTAAAAATTTCTTACTGAATATGCAGAACCTGCCAAGTTATATCAAACACTTCTTCCAGGTCCCTGGTAAAAGCGAGATTTCCCCACTGACTGAATGATTATGGGTCCTGAGCTGAACTCACTGTGCATGAAGGATGTGGAAAACCAAGTGGCTTCCCATGCCTCTGGTCAAGTCTCTACTACTGTGTTCAAATGATTCTCCTGCAGTGGAAATGCTAGGCCCATGGTGACAACTAATCACCATTGTCTTACCTCATTGTAGTGCTGCAGCAATGAGTCCGCCACGGTAAGCAAATAAGAGTTGATAACCAAGGGGCTTAAAGCTTCTCTTTCATGTTTGACACATGGCCTGTGTTCTAGAGGAGGCACACAGAACTGTGATAACTTTGATAAAACCCGGCACATGATAGTGTGTTAATCCCATTGATTTTCCATAAAAGCAAACAGCTTTACAAGGCACTATCAAGAATTCTCCAGTCACAAGAAAGTTTTCCAGGATGACTTCTATAAAACAGTTGGATTAACATTTCATGAAACATAGTCTAGAGAATCTTCTTGGACCCTTTCTGATAGGCCTTATTTGACCATCAAAGGATTCCTCTCCAATGATGAGAAGAAAGAATTGCATTTGACATGCTTATATTACACTGTTCACTTAAGCACTGTATCCTGCTAATGGGGTCTACTTATGTCTGGCCTGAAATAACACACATGCTTGTTTCTCCTTAGGAGGTAGAGTGTGTCTATGTGTGTGCGTAGTTGGGGGCTGGCCAGAAGGCTTGTGATCTAGGAAGTACACAGCCTCAGAACATTATCAGCATGGCATAAGATAGTCCTGTTTGTATTTTAGGGAGATGGCTTTGATTGCAGGATAAAGGATGGATTGGAAGAATTGAGAAACTGGAAGAGGTGAGTCTGGACTCTTAGAGACCCATTAACAGCATATTGCACTAGTCTAGACCATGGAATACATTCAATGGTAATGTTAACAGAGGACTGGCATTTTAGAATTTTTTTATAGCTACAATTTCCAGGCCTTTGTACAAATTTTTTTTAAATTGTAGGTATTATTATTATTCTGCTATGATGAGGCCAACAGATCAGGAGATGATTGCCATTCAGAAGAGAATTTGTTGCTCACAGTTCTCAAGAGGAGGGGACACACCACACCATGCAGGCCACTTGGGAAGTACCAGAGTCAGTCAGGAGGCAGAAAGAGCAAGAATAAAAGCACAGGCGGGAGCCATTATTGTGGTTTCCACAGGAAAGGCAAGGCAAGGGAGGGTAAGGGGGCTCAGGACTGGCTAGCTTGAATAACTTCGGCGGGCTCTGGGTTATAGGAGCTGTCTGCCGTTGCCTGATACCTGACCCTCTGATGATTAGGCAAAACAATGATGTCTTCTTGTGTGGAAGAGCCAGTTAGAGGAGGTGGTTCAGAGTATGGGCTCTGGATTAGTTTGCATATAAAAGGTGTATTTTAGGGCCAGTCATTTACCATCTCTAAGAACTAGGTCTGTGAGGCCCCAGATGCCAGAGCATCAGGAATAGAGAAAATAAGAAAATAGACTTAATACACACTTAGTGTGAGAAATGAGGAAGTCACAGTAGTCAAGTCAAAGAGTTTTCCAACTTGGATGACTATGTGGGAGTGAAACAAGATTAACTTTCCAAAGAACTAAACTTTACTGAGCACCTACTCTGTGCCAGGCACTGCTCTAACATCTTGACATAAATAGTCTCAATTCATCATCAAAACAAAGTTTTGACATGGGGACTATGATTAGCTTAATTTTACAAGTATGTTGAAGGAGGCTGCGAGAGTTTGTTCTCAAGTCTCCTGTGATAATCTCTCTTGCAGTTTTGTCTTAGACATGTTAGACTTAGGTGCCTGCAGGACGTCTCAGTAGAACAATCTAGGGCACAGTACCACTAACATCCTCATTTTATTTCATTCATTCATTCATTCATTTATGTTATGAATATTCATGAGATACAAAGCTAATTGTCACCCCTCCATGGTGTGGAGGGGAGCACCAGCCCACGGGGTCTGACCTACCAAGGTGTGCTCAGCAGAATCATGCAGCGCTAGGTGCTCATTCTATGAACATCCTCATTTTAAACTATGCTATTATTTGAAAGAAACTTACATTGCATTTGCTACTTTCAATACAGTGTCCTAAAAGCTTTATAAATGGCAGTTCATTTAATCCCATGACAATCCTCAGAGGTACATATTATGACCCCCATTTTATTCACATTTTTAATCATCATTGGAGCTATCATTTAAGGAATGCAATGATGAACCATGTGCTAGACCAGGTATTTTATGTAAGTTAGCTTAATTCAATCATGCAAGGCTAATGTGATTACTTTTTTTTTTTTTCCTTTTTTTGTCTTTTTTCGTGACCAGCAATGGATCGCAACCCTCAGTGTCGCGCCCGTACCGGACCGGGACCGGCCACGGGATCACAACCCTCGGTGTTGCTCCCGCACCTCGCTCAGCCAGTGAGCGGCTGGTCTGTATGTGGGATCCGAACCCTCTGCCGCACTTCCCAAGCGGCGCACTGCAGCAGTGCGCCACCGGGCCGGCCCCTAATGTGATTACTTTAAAGACCAGAAAACAAAGGCTTGGGAGGCTCCTGTAATGTGACTACCTGTGTAAAAGCTTTACATTTATGAATTTCATAAATATGACCTTCTGTTGTGATTAACAACTATTATCCCCTTTCACAGACCAGAGCTTAAGGCTCAATAGTTGAAGTAACTTGAACAACACCAAAACAGTCCTAAGTCACCAGCCTGGATTTGAACTTTGGTGTATTTGATTCTGAATCTCAAACTTCCCCAGTCTTCCTGTACTTTTAAAACTGTGTTTCACTGGAGCTTTATTTCCGATCAGTTTTATAGATGTAAGTTTCTTCACAAGAAGAAGTGTTATGGGCTGAATCGTGCCCCCCACCCCATTCGTATGTTGAAGTACTAACCCCAAGTACCTCAGATTGTGACTGTATTTGGAGACAGGGTCTATAAAGAGGTAATAAAGGTAAAATGAGGTCCAATGGGTGGGTCCTAATCCAATATTACTGGTATCTTTATAAGACGGAGAGATTAAGACACAGACATATTTGCTGACACCTTGATCTCAGACTTAAAGCCTCCAGAATTATGAGAAAATAAATTTCTGTTGTTTAAACCACCCAGTCTGTGGTGCTTTGTTATGGCAGCCACAGCCAAATAATGCAAATAGTAAATTTTCAGGACTAAAACAAAATTGAAAAAGCACTGTCGTCCTAAATAGTCCTAGAGTCTGAGTATTTTCCCAAACTCACCAAGCCAGGAGGTCAGATGACTTCCTGGGATCAAAGCCAGCTTCCTCTTGCTGTTACTTCAGCCGCTGGTCTGCAGACGTTTTTTCTTCTTCTTCTTCTAACTTCCCCTCCTGTGAGGGGGAGATAAATATTAGAGAAACAAAAGTCCAGAATGCTAAGGTTGCCACTCTCACTTCCTCTTGCCCTTTAACTCATAACTGCTTTGAATACATTAATTGCTGTGGGGCACCGATCCAGGAGAGAAGGTACAAGCACCTCGGAGGCTCTGCCCGGCCAGGCGGTTACAGCGCGTCACCTTTTCACACGGCCACTGCTGGTCACAGAAAATGCCAGGATGATGCCTCCCTCACGCCTGGCTGGGACTCTGATCCCAGCCATGGCCTTCCTCTCCTGCCTGAGGCCCGAAAGCTGGGAGCCCTGCGTGGAGGTACGTGGTTGGGGTCAGCTGATCTCCTGCAAGCTTTCCCTTGCTTCTGAAAAAATGCTCCCTGCCCAGAACTTCCCACTGAGTGCCCTGGTTAGTTTATTTTGCAAAAAGGAGTTAAATTACCTTAAAGATGTGAGAAGCCACAGGCACTAAATCACTCATTGTTGCAGGGCATTGACAGGAAGCCAAGGACTTTTGAGTGCTAATAGGTGCTTTAGGTTACATAGACCTGTTCAAAATTCCTGTTCTGTGACATCCCGGCTGTGTGACATTGCAGAAGTTATTAAACCTCTCTGAGATTAGTTTTCACATCTATAAGAGAATTAATAATGATGTGCACCTCAGTAGAGAGTTGTAAGAAGCCTGCTTCAGTGTCATTTCTTTTCACTGGTGGTTTGTACACTCTGTTTTAAGCGCTCTGCCCCTTTCAATATCAGGAAGAAGATGGCTTTTTTTTGTCTTTCACAAAAGAACTTTCTAAATGGATTTCAGACTTCTGTACCAGTCATTTAGTTTGTTCCAGAGGAAATTAATAAAATAAAATAAAGTAAAGTAAAATAAAATAAAATAATGAGATAAAACAAAATAAGATGGAAAAGAAAAAGAGAGACAAAAAAGAGATAAAGAGAGAGACAAACAGGGAAGAAAAACAGAGAGAGAACCATGAAAAATGTCAGCTAGTGCAACGATTTCTTTCTAAGTGGAATACCAGCGAGCTGGTTGGTAATCTCATTTAGGATGAATCTCTTTTGTTTTTCCCCTGCACGGACTTTCCAGTTGCTTTAGAAATCCATGATAGGATTGAGCAGCTAAGAAAATGATTTAGGGTGATGCAGGGTCAGAAAACTCAAGAGAGGCCTAGCTAGCTGGAGTCCTGAAGTTGAGGACATGGGAGAAAATAGCACTTTAATATGTGACAAAGATAATTTATTATCTCAAATTTCCCGCCCACATTCCTACTACTTGTCCTCCTCTCCATGTACCTCCTGTCATTAATAGATCCTCCAATCTGGGTCACCCTGGGATAAAACTACAGCCACCCTTGACTCCCCCTTTCCCCATGCACCTGATGCTGTCAATTCCTAGATCCTGTCCGTTTCCTCATGTCCTCTCAGTGCCACCCTAGGGCAGCCCTAATTCCATAACCTTGATACTTATTTAATCCATTCTGCACACCTTTGCTTGTTATCTGTTGTTTTTTCCCTAGGCTTGGATATAACAAATTACTCTTCTTACAAAAACTTCTGAAAACTCTCCATCGCCAATAGAGCAGTTTCCTACCACAGGGCCTTTGTACTGACTGTTTCCTTTACCTGAAATGCTTTTCTCCTAGATCAGTGCTGTCCAATGGCAGTATTATGTGAGCCACATACATACTTTTAAATTTTCTAGTAGTCACATTAAAAAATTAAAAAGAAATAAGTTAACTTAATTTTGATAATATTTTAATTTAACCCAATATGTTCAAAATATTATTTCAAAATGTTTTCTATATATTACATATATTGTGTACTATTGATATATGTGTATTAATAGTACTATTAATAAGATATTTTGATTTTTTTGGGTGCTAAGGCTTTGAACCTTAGAATATATTTTACATGCACCACACATTTCAGTTTAGACTTTCCACATTTCTCATGCTCAAGAGCTGTGTGGGGCTGTGTGTGGCTGCCGTACTAGACAGTGCAGCTCTAGTCATTTTCATGGCTTATGTTTTCACTTCATTCAGATCTCTGCTTAAATATCTCCACCTCAGGGCAGTCTTCCTTGATTGTTCCATGGAGAACTCTCCAGCCCCTGCTTTTTCACCTCTTATCCTCTTATATATACTGCCTTAGTTTTTCCATAGCTCATCATTAGGTGTTTTTGTTTATTTGTTCATTGCCTGTCTTCCCCTTTGGAATGGAACCTGTAGGAAGGCAGCAGCATCACTAGTTTTATTTATCACTCTACTCTCAGTGTCTAGCACATAGTAGCTGCTCAGTTTATATGTATTAAGTGATTGAAATAATTGCTGCAGGACAAAGCCTAAGGCCTTCCTGATTTGGCTGTGACTTCCCTTCTGGCCTAGGTTTCACTACTTTCTCCATTCGTCAGCTGATCTGAATTCGTTTTCCACCCCTCCCTTGATCAAGCTGTTCTCTTCCTAAGAAATGTAGTTCTTCCGCTTTCCATGTACCCAAATATTACTCATCTTTCAAGACCTATCTTTAGATCTTCCTTTTCTAGGAAGCCTTCCCTGGATTCAGAACTGATCTCTACTTTCTCTGAACCAGAGGACATATTTTCCAAGACTGTTTTATGGTTCTTTTAGACAGCCAGTTTTGCTTCTATTTTTTTTTTGATAGTTTTTTAAAAATTGAAACATAATTGATTATACATATTTGTGGTATACGTATTTTCCAAGACTGTTTTATGGTTCTTTTAGACAGCCAGTTTTGCTTCTATTTTTTTTTTTTGATAGTTTTTTAAAAATTGAAACATAATTGATTATACATATTTGTGGTATACAGATTTGAGTATCAATACCTGTGTACAATATATGCTGACCAAATTGGGATAATTAGTATACTCATGTTTACAAAACATAACCGATCTTTGTGATCTTAACCAATTTCTCACTAACCCCAGTTCCCCTCCCCTGTCTCACCTCTAATAACCACACTTCTGTTCTCTTTTTTTCAGACGTTCAACATATTATTGTGATTGTTGTTTGTTTCTATCTATTTCTTTCTTCCTTTAGCTCCCTTTATGACTGAGGACATGCAGTATTTCTCTTTCTGTGTCTGGCTCATGTCACTTAACATAATTTTCTCTAAGTTTATCTATGTTCCTGTGAATGGGAGAATCTTATTCCTTTTGGGGGCAGAGTAGTATTCCAATGAGTATATATACTGTATTTTCCTTATCAAATTGTCTGTCGATGGGCATTAGGTTGGCTCCAACTCTTGGCTATTGTAAATAGATCTGTAATAAACATGGGAGTGCAAGTATCCCTTTGACATGATGATTTCCATTCCTTTGGATGTATACCTAGTGGTGGGATTGCTGGATCACATGGCAGTTCTCTCTCTAGTTGTCTGAGGAAACTCCATACTGTTTTCCATAATGGTTGTACTAATTTACAGTCCCACCAACAGTTATTCTTACTCTAGACTGAGTTCATTGAAGTTTGGAGCCATATCGTGTTTGTCTTTATATTGCTCATAGAGCTTAGAAGAAAATGCCGGGCTGGCCCGGTGGCGCACTGCTACAGTGCACCGCTTGGGAAGCGCGGCGGCGCTCCCGCTGAGGGTTCGGATCCCACATACAGACCAGTTCCCGCTCGCTGACTGAGCAAGGCGTGGGAGCAACACGGAGGGTTGCGATCCCGTTGCCGGTCCCGGTCCAGTACGGGTGCGACACTGAGGGTTGCGGTCCGTTGCCGGACATGAAAAAAGACAAAAAAAAAAAAAAAAGAAGAAGAAAATGCCTATAATTTGGGTTTAAGCAAACATCCATTCAATTAGTTATTCATTTATTTAACAAACATTTGCTGAGTGTCAAGTATTTGCCACGTATCACTCTGAGTGCTGGAGACTAAGCAGCAAGCAAAACCATCAAAGCTTACAATCCACTGCAGGAGATGAACAATACATAGGAAACAATCACATAGACAACATAAAGTTGGATGGCAAAACATCATGTGAAGGAAAATAAAAGATAGTAAAAGAGGGGTGCCTGACAACATCATTCTCTATCAACTGGTATTGTGTTCAAGGCTCCTGTAACAGGTAACGTTTAAGCAGACATGCAAATGAAGTGAGGACCTGAAAGTATGAACTCTGTGACTTTGTGCATATTATTTCATCTCTCTGAATTTCTATTTCCTTCATCTTTAAAAGGTTTGTTTGAAGATTAAGTTAAAGTATATAATGCTGGCATATGGTGAAGGATTAATAACCACTAATAATAATTAATGTTAACATTTATTGATCATTTACACTATAGTAGGCTTTGAGATAAGCTCTTTAAATAACTTATCTCATTTAATCCTTTAAACAGATTCTATTGGTTTTAAACAACCAAAAACCAAAATTAGCTAGCTTAAGAAAGGAATTTTGTTGAAGGAAATCAGAGAATTTAGAAATTAAGTAGGAGGTTAGACAATGAGGCTTACAAAAATATGGAGGAAAGTAGGATAGAAACCAGCACAGGAACCAGGGAAGCATAAAGCACTTGACCTAATTAACTAAGTTCCACAACTGGAATCCATGCACTCCAAAGATTTCTACCTCCGACCCCACTTCTGTGTCTCTTTGCTCGTAGGTCAATGAGCGAAGGGAGAAAATGCAATTGTCAAAAATTGGGCTACGGCTAGGGAAATTCTGGGCATCTTGACTGGTGGTCTTTTCAAGTTGTAAACAATGTGGGGGTGGGGGTGGAGTTAGAATGATATTGGTTATTTTATTACCTGTATTTTACATATGATAAGATGAGGTTCACTGAGGATGAAAAAAGAGACGGCCCCAAATCACACAGAAGAGGTGGTATGAAACCCAGAACTTTTGGACCCTAGCGCCTCAGCCCTTCACCACGTGATTCCATTGCTCCTTGCTAAATGTTTTTATTGTTAAAGGTTAGAACATTGAGTACATAGAAGGTGCTTTTTCCTTCCTAATTTAGAGTAAGACATTTTATAAGTATGAAATGAATGGATAAATGAATAAATGAATGAATTAAGGTATGAATAAATGGATAGAAAGATGGATGGATGAAAGAAGTTTGACTGGGTCCTGTGCTGGTGTCCTGTACCAGAGGCCACCAGTCTCTGGTCTAGAAGAGGGGAGTTGGAGGTGCCTGCAGTAAGACACCACATTTAATGTGTGATCATTGCAGGTGGTTCCTAACAGTACTTACCAATGTGTGGACCTGAATCTCTACAAAATCCCTGATAACATCCCTTCCTCAACCAAGAACCTGGACCTGAGCTTTAACCCCCTGAAGCGCTTAGGCAGCCATAGCTTCTCCAACTTCACAGAACTGAAAGTGCTGGATTTATCCAGGTAATGAATGAGCTTTTACATACTGCACACGGTGAGATGTTCATTGTTGTATGATTTCATTCTTGGGCCAGAAAGCCTAGTTAGTGGAGTCTCACCTTCATTCACTTATTTATTTATTCAACAAATGTCTTACTTGCTATGTAACTTTGGGCAAGCCACCTTCATTCTCCTTCATTCTTCTTCAGTCTCAGTTTTCTCATCTGTACAATGGGCAGTTGGACGAGACAATTTCTAAGGAGAATTTCACCTTTGGATTTTTTTTTAAATTCAGGAAAGAAAATTAACTTAAAGTCTTTCATCAGCAGATGTGAATTGGCTACTTGCTATATGTTGTACACTCTTGCTAGAAAACTAAAGTATATTGATCTATAATATACTGCCCCTGTTATTAAAAAGGGCATATCCTCTTGAAAGTGTTAATATGTTTAAGTCCTGGGCATGGTGCTAGGCACATAGTAAACATTCAGTACATGGTAACTAATTCAGACTTTCTGGGTTTTGAAACTGAGATAAGGATGGTGATATACAACAGTAGGTGATAAACTATGTGCAAACTAGAGATAGCAAATTGTGTTGTACAGAAGAGGAGTTTCCTCTGTGGTTGGTAGGTGGTCAAGAAAGATTTTGTGAACTGAGTGGGATTCCGATAATGTCTGCAATATTGAAAGTGGGTCAGAGGATAAGAAATTAGGAAGAGGCAAGTAACCCAAAAAGAAAGATGTCAAGATCAAGAAAAACATCTGCTGTGGGCGGGGAACAGTGACTAAGATATTTTTTTCTTAATGCAGGGAAGAATATCATTCAATGGGGCAGGGGAAGTTATAATTTTTTTGGAGGGAACTGAATACTAAAAGGGTTTTCATTATCAGGGGCCTTGTTAAAAAACTGAACTAAATAATAGACCATATTCTCTATAATGGTTTGCGAAAAATGCGGAAACATTATATGTATATTTTCATTATAGAAATTCTTGATAAAGACTAAGGCCATAGTATGAAAATCCTTTTTTTTTTTTTTTTTTTTTGTCTTTTTTGGGGCCGCACTGCGCTCAGCCAGCGAGCACCGGCCATCCCTATATAGGATGCGAACCCGCGGCGGGAGCGCTACCGCGAGGCACTCTCCCGAGTGCACCACGGGCTCGGACCTGAAAATCCTTTTTAAAGCAGATATTTCTGTAGAAGAGTAAGCATCTGATGTTTTGTACTCTAATTTGAACACTGACAGAGTATAACAAAAAAAGAATGGCACATTTTAAAGGCAGTAGCATAGAACCCTGTGGGGGTTAGAAGACCTGAGCCAAGTCCTCCTTCAACATTTCTAACCATGTGACCTGAGGCATGTCATTTCATCTCCCTGAGTCTCAGTTTTCATATCTCTTAAATGGAAATAATAAAACTTACCCCACAGGGTTAAATGTGGTAATGAATACCAACATGTTATATATATATATATATATATTTATAAAGTATATTTTGTAAGTATTAAATATTATTATTATAGCATTTAATTTGGTTCTAAATTTCAGTTTTCTGAGTAAGAATTTTGTCAAGAACCATATTGAATTAGACCCAACACTCCTCAATTTTAAAACAAGAACTAGTTTCTCATCAAACAATGTTCCTGGGCTGGTTAGTTATCTCAGTTGTTTAGAGCATGTTGTTATAACACCAAGGTCAAGAGTTCAAATTCCTGTACCAGCCAGCTGCCAAACAAAACAAAACAAATGCTCCTTATAATTCATCTTCTATCCATCATATATCCAAGGAACTTTCCTCAGCGGCCTTAAGTATGTGCATAGAGAGAAGCCAGCTTCCCCTCTGGTTAGCCCATAGAAAATTCTGAATTAGGGCAAGAACAAGCAATAGCACAATAAATATCCTTTGCCTTTTCATACAGTGTTCACATACAGTAACACAACTAGTCCTTTAAGAATGTTTTGTGATAGACCAGGCAGAACATTTTTTTTGTCCATAAAGAATTCTCTCTCTCTCTCTCTTTCTCTCTCTGTCTTACAGATGAGGAAACAAAGGCTTGAAGAGTTTAAGTTACTTGTTTATATTCACATAGCTTGTGGGCAGCTGTAGTGGATTGAATTATGTTCCCCCAAAACTCCCTGAAGCTTAAAATGTGTCCCTCAAGTTTTATGTATTAGAAACTTAGCCCCCAGTGTGATTGCTAAGAGGGTATGAAATCCTATTATGGTAATTGAAAGGTGGAGACTTAAAGAGGTGATTTGATTGTAGGACCACGCAGTAGTGAATGGATTAAAAATAGTGGTCAGAGGAGTGGTTCTGAGGGTTTTAAAGAGAAGAGGAGAGTCTGTTTCTTGCTCTCTCAGCTCTCTCTGCTTCCACCTTCTTGCAATGTGAGACCCCTGCGTCACTTTCACCATCACCAGATGGACTTTAGACTTCCCAGCCTCAGGAACTGTAAGCAATAAATATCATTTTTCTTTATAAATCAGGTATTTTATTATAAGCAACAAAAACGGACTAATGTAGCTGCAAACCAGAGATTCAAGTTTGCCTTTCCTTCCTCCAAGTTAAACCTCCTTGTCGTAACACTATACTTCTCTAAAGCTGTAAGCCCTGTGTAATGAGACAGAGACATGAGACACAAAGCAAGACATTTCCAGTTATACCTACTGGATACAGCAATAAATACATAAGATTATGGGCTATGAAATTATGTAACTGAATAAAAAGAACTTGAGAAATAATTGAGTTCAGCTGCCTCATTTAAAAATGTGATAACTGAAGCCCAGAGAAGAAAAGGGACTCCCAGAATTACATGGAAAGAGAGGATGGCAGAGGTACAAATACTCAGCTGTCTTCCCCCTTTTCTGGAGTTCTTTCTACTGCACTCAGTACCCTCTCTCCAGTTGCCAATAAATACAAAAGGTTGCGCTAAAGTGCTTTTGTTATCCATGGACCTATTGAAGGGGATAGGACATTTGGGGAACATCGTAAATCATTTGCCAATCATAACTGACATGCACTTGCAATGCTAACTGGAGTTTATCATTGGCTTGCTCTTGGCTGCATAAGAGCCCTGCCCCTAGTACATCTCTATGAACATTGTATATAGCATGACATCCATTTCTCTTGGGATAAAATTCAAAACCCTTTATCTGGCCTGTAAGCCCCTGCCTTATTTAGAACCTCCTTTCTCCACACCCCTATCTCACATCCCTCCAATTCCTTCTCTGTATTCTAGCCATGGAAGCTGTTTCTCATGGTACCTACATATATTATGGCTGCTGCTTACCTTAGAGCTTTTGTATCTGCTGTTTACTTCACCTTCTTTTTTCTTTAACTCCTACTCATCTTTCAAATTTCAACTTCAGCATTCTCAGAGAATCCTGCTTTGATCTCCCTACTTTAGATCAGTTCCCTTTATGCAAACTCATAGTACACATTTTTTCTTCCACAAAATCCATTCCTATCACCAATTACCTATGTTACCTGTGATAATGACAACATTCAAGTATCTATCATATATGCAGAACTTTTCATAAGCATTAAGAATATGCATGACACATATATATAATTTTTTATATCTTTGAAACTAACATTCATCAGTCACTTATCATGGCTAACAAGTAGCAACTATCCACATCATCTGTACCAATCAGATGTAGAAACACAATTATGCATGGCAGGAAGTGGGTAAACATGATCCAAGGGTATTATGTACTCTATCAACCACACAATCTTTATGTGCCCTAATTATTGATCTTTAACTGATTTCCTTATGATGGATTTGTTGTCTTTGCTTAGCATGTGTGCCTTATGTGACAAAAAGAATTTATCATTGCGGCCAATATGATAAGACTGAATCTGTGAGGTTCCTTATTTGTCACATCATCATCCTCTGTCCTGCTTGATGTCTTGCCTATTCACAATCATATCACCCATCACATCTGAATGACAATCTAAATGACTGGGATTGTTATTCTATTCGGGGTTTTTATTTAGCAGAAATATTATAAAATCTGTATCTCTTTTCCTTATAGGTGTGAAATTCATATGATTGAAGATGATGCATATCAGGGCCTAAACCACCTCTCCACCTTGGTATTGACAGGGAACCCTATCCAGAGTTTAGCCTCGGGAGCCTTTTCCGGACTATCAAGTTTGCAGAGGCTGGTGGTTGTGGAGATAAACTTAGCCTCTCTAGAGAACTTCCCCATCGGACATCTCAAAACCTTGAAAGAGCTTAATGTGGCTCACAATCTTATCCATTCTTTCAAGCTACCCAAATATTTTTCTAATTTGCCCATCCTGGAGCACTTGGACCTTTCTAAAAACAGGATTCAAAATATTTATCATAAAGACTTGAAGGTTCTACATGAAATGCCCCTACTCAACCTCTCTTTAGACCTGTCCCTGAACCCAATAGACTTTATCCAACCTGGTGCTTTTAAGGAAATTAAGCTTCATGCACTGACTTTGAGAAGTAATTTTAATAGTACAAATGTAATGAAAATTTGTATTCAAGGTCTGGCTGGCTTAGAAGTCCATCGGTTAGTTCTGGGAGAATTTAAAAATGAAAGGAAAGTGGAAGATTTTGAAAAATCTTCCCTGGAGGGACTGTGCAATTTGATCATTAAAGAATTCCGGTTAGCATTCTTAGATACATCCCAGGATAATATTATTGACTTATTTAATTGTTTGGCAAATGTTTCTGCCATTTCTCTGGTGAGTCTGAATTTTGACAGGCTAGAAGGCATACCTAAAAATTTCAGATGGGAATCTTTAGAATTGGTTAATTGTCAATTGAAAAAGTTTCCCACTTTGGAGCACATTTCTCTCAAAAGGTTTATTTTCACTGCCAACAAAGGTGGGGACACCTTTGCAGAACTTCACCTACCAAATCTTGAGATTTTAGATCTCAGTAGAAATGGCTTGAGTTTCAAGGGTTGTTGTTCTTATGCTGATTTAAAGACAGCCAAACTGAAGCATTTAGATCTGAGCTTCAATGGTATTATTTCCATGAGTTCAAATTTCCTGGGCTTAGAACAACTAGAATATCTGGACTTCCGGCATTCCACTTTGAAACAGAGCAGTGATTTTCCAGTGTTTCTATCACTCAACAACCTCATTTACCTTGACATTTCTTATACGCACACTCGAGTTGTTTTCCATGGCATCTTTGATGGTCTATTTAATCTCCAAATCTTGAAAATGGCTGGCAATTCTTTCCAGGATAACTTCCTTCCAAATATCTTCACAAAGCTGACTAACTTGACCTTCCTGGACCTCTCGGAGTGTCTACTGGAACAGGTGTCCCAGGGAGCATTTGACTCACTCCCCAGACTGCAGATACTAAATATGAGTCACAACAACCTCTTGTCATTGGATATACGTCCTTATAAACATCTGTACTCCCTCCAGGTCCTGGATTGCAGTTTCAATCGCATAGTGGCTTCCAACGTACAAGAACCACAGCATCTTCCACGTAGTCTAGCTCTCTTAAATCTTACTGAGAATAATATTGCTTGTGCCTGTGAACACCAGAGCTTTCTGCAGTGGGTCAAAGACCAGAGGCAGCTCTTGGTGGAAGTTGAACAAATGGTATGTTTGACACCTTTGGATATGAAGGACATGCCTGTGCTGGCTTTTAGGAATGCCACCTGTCACATGAGCAAGACCATTATTAGTGTGTCAGTGCTCAGTGTGCTTGTGGTATCTGTTGTAGTAGCTCTAGTCTATAAGTTCTATTTTCACTTGATGCTTCTTGCTGGCTGCAAAAAGTACGGTAGAGGGGAAAGCATCTATGATGCCTTTGTTATTTACTCGAGCCAGGATGAGGACTGGGTGAGGAATGAGCTCGTAAAAAATTTAGAAGAAGGGGTGCCCCCCTTTCATCTCTGCCTTCACTACAGAGACTTTATTCCAGGTGTGGCCATCGCCGCCAACATCATCCAGGAAGGTTTCCACAAAAGCCGGAAGGTTATTGTTGTGGTGTCCCAGCACTTCATACAGAGCCGCTGGTGTATCTTTGAGTATGAGATTGCTCAGACCTGGCAGTTTCTGAGCAGTCGCTCTGGCATCATCTTCATTGTCCTGCAGAAGGTGGAAAAGTCCCTGCTGCGGCAGCAGGTGGAGCTGTATCGTCTTCTCAGCAGGAACACTTACCTGGAGTGGGAGGACAATGTCCTGTGGCGGCCCATCTTCTGGAGACGACTGAGAAAAGCTCTGCTGGATGGTAAAGCAAGGAGTCCAGAAGGAAAAGTGGATTCAGAAAACAGCCAGTACGAAGCAACCACTTCCACCTGAGGAGGAAAAAACTGTGAGGTGCTTCTTGTCCAGCTGGACCCAACACTTGTTCATTTAACAAGTATTAAATGCTGCACTGCTCCAGGCATTATGCTAAGGGCAAGTGATTCAGTAGTGCACAAGATAGACAACGGTACTACTGATCTCATGGAGTTTACAGAGCAGAGGGAATAAATACTAGGCTAAAATATGGAGTCTTTCCAGGTGGATATGTCAATCAACTCAGCCAAGGCTTCATGATAGAGAAAGTCAGTTCAACTCTTATCTCATCAAATGGAATAGAACTTAGAGACTGGGTCCCAGTGAGAGCAGAAAGGGATATTATTCTCCTCCTGAGTCTTTCGAATGTAAACCACATCATGTATTGCATTTTAGCCATCTTAAAACAGTTTTGGTAGTTTCAGCTGAACTGGGTATTTGCTCACTTTTCCCTTTTCAATTTAAATTCTGCTTGATGAGTCAGGAGGCTTCTGACCCAGGATCCCCCTTCCATTTTAAGTCAGTTTTTTTACAAATGCTAAAGTCTTGTAACTAATTCCTAAGGAAACCTTTTAAACACATGCTCAGAAATATCTTGGTCATTCCTTAGTATGTTCTATTTATTAACTAATAATCCCTGATGCATTTTTTATATATATCCAGTTCTCATTTTTCAGGTCCTGTCTATAAACTGACATCATAAATAAGGTTGTTAGAGACATGCTCGAAATTTTCATATTTAACCACTATTTTTCAAGCAAGTATGTAAAATACACTCTATCACTTTGTCACTTGATGTCATTCTAAAATTATTACCTACTAAGTTATGACCATCATAGAGGCAGCATTAAAAATAATTTGGTTGAAAGGGGCACTTTTAAAAATAGGGGGGTGAAAAGTCTAACTTTCTTATCTCATACTAAACAATTTGGGCTAGAGGCAGGAAAAGAAATGGGATGACCCCAGGAGGTCACTTTTTCTTGATGATTCCAGAAATATATGGGCTGATATAGCTGGGGTGACCACCTGAAATGAGTTGCAGCAGAAGTTTCTTCTCAGAATGAGTGTTGTTTGATGGAATGATGAATCCCTTTGAGGGGACATAGAGGGCTGGGAGTCCTCCCTCCCCACTGCCAGGAGACATGCTTGTGAAACAATTCAAGGTAGGGAGTACATGCTGCTGTTTCTTGTTGGGCATCACTCCTTGACCACAGCTAGGAAAGAGTGGATGTTATCACTGAGAAAGCAAAGTGCTCAGGGTTAATGGGGCTTGTGGTAAGGGGATTCTTAGAAAAACACGGTCACCCAATTCCCCAGAAATGGTACATTCAAAGAAAGAGCAATGAAGACATCATCAGGAAAATGCAAATCAAAATCACAATGAGATATCACCACACACCAGTTAGACAGAAGGCCTGATATATATCTCAAGACGAGTGTTGTCGAGGATGTGGAGAGATTGGACACCTCCTAGACTGTTTACTGTTGGTAGAAATGTAAAATGCTATAGCCATTAGGGAAAGTAGTATGGAAGTTCCTGAAAAAACTTTAAAAAGGCTCTCTTCATGTCATTCTAAAATTATTACGTACTAAGTTATGTACATCATAGAGGCAGGAATTGATCTGTCTACCATATGATACAACAATCCCACTTTTGGGTATTTATTCAAAAGAATTGAAATCAGAATTTCAAAAAGATATCTGCAATCCCATGTTTGTTGCAGTATTATTTGCAACAACCAAGTCATAGAACTAACCCAAATGTGCATTGACAGATAAATGGATAAAGAAAATGTGCTATATTCATACAATGGGACATCATTCAGCCTTAAAAAGGGAATCCTGCTATGTTGGTCTGTTTCTGTTGCTTATAACAGAGTTCCTGAAAGTGGGTGATTTATTAAGAAATGAAATTTATTTCTTACAATTTTGAAAGCTAGGAAGTCCACAGTCCAGGTGGTGCATCTGGTGAGGACCTTCTTCCATGGTGATGCAGGGTGTCCCATGACAAATATGGTCTGAACTCTACTGAGCTAAGCTTCTCTTTTGCCCTCCTTATAAAGCCATCATAATCATGCCCATGACCAGCCACTAAAACATCAATGGATTAATCCATTTATGAGGGTATAGTCCTCACAATCTAATCAACTCTTAAAAGCCCAACCTTCCAATTACCATAATAGGATTTCCCAACCTTTTTAACACTGTTACAATGGAGATTAAGTTTCCAATACATGAACTTTTGGGGGACACATCTAACCCATAGCACCTGCCATATGTGACAACATGGGTGAACCTGGAGGCCATTATGCTAAGTGCAACAAGCCAGTCACAGAAGAACAAATACTGCCTGATTCCACAGATATGAGGTACTAAAAAAGTCAAACTTGTAGAAACAGAGAACAGTGACTATCAGGAGCCAGGAGATAGGGGAAAATGAGGGAACGGGGAGTTGTTGTTCAATTGGTGTAAAGTTACAGTTGTGCAAAATAAATTAGTCCTAAAGGTCTACTGTACAGTATAGTGCCTATAATAAACTATACTGTATTATACACTTAAAAATTTGTAAGAGGGCAGATCTTGTGATAAATGTCCTTAACACACACACATGCACGCACACACACACACACTCACTCACACACAAATTAAAAAAAAAACACAAAGGGACACAGGAAACCTTTGGAGGTGATGGATATATATATTACCTTGACGTGATAAATGTCCTTAACACACACACATGCACGCACACACACACACACCCACTCACACACAAATTAAAAAAAAACACAAAGGGACACAGGAAACCTTTGGAGGTGATGGATATATATATTACCTTGATTGTTGTGATGGTTTCACAGGTATATGCATATGTCTCAGCTCATCTAATTGTATACGTTAAATATGTGCAGTTGTTTCTATATTAATCATACCTCAATGAAGCTGTAAAAGAGAAAAGAGAAGAAAATCCAGTTGTTAAAATTGGAAATATGACTACACTCAGGAATATGTTTGCAACTGTTTCGAAGTGTATTTGGTTTAGTATGGTTGGGGTAGCTGCACATGCCTGAGTGTGTTTCTGTGTCTCACATGCTAGTGAAAATAGATGTATACATTTGTGAATGTGCCTCTACGTGCCCCTGTTGGTGTTTGTGAATGGGAGAGCATGTGGGTTTGTGTGATCAAACCTGCATGGAACAGAGTGTGATTGTATTCCATGGGGAATATGTGCATTTGATGTGGATGTCTATGGCTGTTCGAGAAAGGTTCTCTACTCTTGTGTTTGTACATGATTGCTTACCCACAAATGTCTGCTTTTGTTTCTGAGTATGCTTGAAAGTGTGTGAATTTATGTATGTTCATGCTGTATTACTTGTGTTCTTATCTAAGTACATATTCTGCAAATGTGTGTTAGTTCAAGCAAATATACAAGGACACTTCAAAAACTTCATGGAAAAATAGAATTAGGAGATACTACAAATTGTTCCATGAACTTTTTGAAGTACCCTCATGCAAGGAGTTTCCTATAGACAAGGTTAACTTTGGCTTCCTTCCAGTCAGTCGTCTGTCCCAGATGAGAATTCTGGAAATCGCAGGTGAGGTGGACAAGAAGGGAAATAAATGTTATGGACAGAAATACACGGGGGATAAAAAGGAAAGTCGGGCCAGGATTGGCTCTTTTTAGCTATTTAAACGCTCTGGATGAAAGAGAGATGAAGGGTGGATTAGAGAGAAATTAATACTAATTAGAATGCCTTAAGTTTTTCTAATACCCTACAACTTGGAACACAGTCACACAAATATAACCATATTTGAATCTCTTATTAGCGAGGTGAGGTAGCAGATCAAGAATTAATTTTCCTGTTTCACTGATGTGAAACCTGAAGTTCAATGATGTAAATTGTAAGCAAGTGGCCAGTCCTGAACCTGGGTTTCCAGCCCACTCAGGGAAGCTTGTTTTCTACCACACCCCATTGCTTTGTGCTTAAAGTTGGCAAAATGAGAAGTGAAACCCCTGCTGTTCTCTGTGTGGTTAACACTAGACAAGGGTTTTTCAACTGATATCATAAGTCATTAAGCAAATGCATATGCATATATATATATATATATATATAATATGTACTGAATGGTTTATTTCCATGAAAGCCTTTCTTTCCATGAAAGACTTGAGGGAGCTTCAAACACAGTATACACAGACAATAATCAATCAGAAGTAGAAAATCTGGACAAAGAATGGAAAGGGGAAAGAGAGACTCCGAGAATAAGCTTTAGCATAGTGTCTTCCAGTTCCTTAACTTCAGAGAGAACCCACTCGTGTTTTGGATAATGCGGCTTGTGGAGAAAGCCAAAACTGAAATTCACTACTTAACAACTGTATTCTCTGAGATTCTGCTTATTTCAAATGTAAAATGAAGGTGGGAATATTACTTTGTAAGTTGCTGTAAGGATTGAAAATAATATGTATTCAACAGAAGGAACAAGATTCTTATGGGTGAATACTCCTCTGGGACTTCATAAAGAAGACACAAGGAGAAATACTGGGTGGTCTTCTCAGTAACAGCATTATACTAATTGCTGTTTTCCCAGCCTGTGGGACCACAGGAATGACTGTAACTGTAACTAGGCAGTTTCTTTTTGACTCAGCTTGCACCTATGGGATTGTCAGACCGCAGCCTCTTTCTGGACTCTGTAATCTTTCTAGAAGTCACCAGCAGGTTCCTGGAGAGTTTCATGTGAACTCACAAGAGTCTTCACAAGACTTCTTGGGAGCTCTTTGAGGGCTTGGGGAATATCTGTTCACTCTTTGCTTCTCTAGCACAGAGAACAATGCCTGACACACCATAGGTGGACAACACCTGTGTGTGTTAATTGATGACTAAGCAAAGCATCGTCTCTACAGGTGATGTTGTCCTATGTACTGTCCAGTTAAGGCCTCCAAATCCCACACCACAATTAGAAAACTAAGACTCTAAGATTTTTAGTACATATCTAAAGTCACACAGGTAGTAAATGGCAGCATTTAGATTTCAACCCAGTCTCTCTGATGTTAAAAACCAACTATGCTACGTGGTTTCTCTAATGCATTCCTCCTATTTTGTATAGATTTGAATGCTTCTGTTCTTCATTTTTATTTTATTTTTGCTATGGCTAGAGCTCAAAACTAGAACCCATATATGAAGGTCAAGTGAAAGAATGGGTGTTGGACTGATGATAAGCTGTGTAAGAGATCAGACAGTACTTGAAATCAACCTTTTCCTCTGACAATGATGAACTAAGACTCTCTCACTTCAACTCTCTTTTCTGATAGAATAAATTATTTTCCATGAGGCTCCTAGGCCTTTCATACAAGGGGACCAAGACTGCGTCTCTCCAAGCTACCTTCCAGATAGGCTGAGCTGTTTCTATATTTATAGCAATTATTGCTCATCCTTCACTTAGGTATTTCTTCTGCCACATTTTTTTTAATTGTAACATAGCTGATTGTACATTTTTGTGGGGTACACAGTTAAATATCATTACCTGTGTGCAATATGTGATGCTCAAATCAGGGTAATTAGGATATTCACCATTATACAGTATGTCACATG